GGGGGAATACGGATGGAGGGAACATCACCCCCGGCAGGAGGAGGCGGGATGACCGAACACGGGATGGAGAAGGACGGTGATCCCTAGGCGAGAGGCGGAGCCGGTCATTTGGAACAAGAGTGACTAGAAACCAGAGACGAAGGAGGCTGCGGTGGGACTGGAGGGACTGGGCGCCTCCGATAGGAGACTGGTGAGCCGGGCTCGATGCGCGGGGAAGGCGGAGTAGGAGGAGGTGCCGTTGCGTAGGATACCGGGGAGGCCGGGTGAGACACGCCGGATGGAGAAGGCCTCGGAGAAGGGGCAGCGGCCGGAGGTGGGGCATCGAAGTCTGCCCAAATAAGCGTCGGGGGAGGTGGAGGAGGCTCGTCCATGGTCATAGAGTAGAAGGGGCGTGTCTCATCGAAGACGACATCACGGCTGCGAATCAGCTGTCTGGTGATGGGGTTGAGGAATAAGTTTTCTGGGGAGTTGGAGTTGTGCCCCAGGTATATGCAGGTCTGGGTTTTGGGACCAAGCTTGCCACCTTGCTTCCTACGCCTGTGGGGGCTGAGCAACACATACGCGGTACACCCCCAGACGCGTAGAGAGCGGGCGGAAGGCGTGGCCCCAAGCCAGAGAGTGGAAGGTGTGGTGTCGGGCCGGTAGGGATGCAGATAAAGATTGTAGAGGAGTGCAGCATGGAAGAGGGCATATCCCCAGAGTGACCGTGATGCTTTGGCGTGACTGAGGAGGCAGCGAGCGATCTGAACCAAGGTATGGTTGCGGCTCTCCGCAATGCCGTTCTGCTGCGGGCTTTCAGGGAGCGTGAAGGTTTGCCGAATCCCTTGGGTCGCCCAGAAGTTATCAAGTTTGCCATTGCGAAATTCTCCCCCGCCATCAGAATGGAGGCACTTTAGAGGAGTGCCGAACGTAACTCGAGCCTAGCGCACCCATGCTTTGATGAGGTCAGGTGCCTCCGCCTTGGTATGCAGGAGCTGCACAGAAACATACCGTAACTGGTCATTGACTAGTGTAAGAAAGTACGGATGACTGCCTCGCGATGCGACTGGAGCTGTGCACTAGGTCCAGCGGAGCAGCTGCGACGGATGGGGAGGAAGGGTGCGGCTGCTCCCTGAGCTTGCTCTTGGTGCAGTCCAGGCAGGTGGGTGCAGGCGACTCTGTTGGTGGAGGAAGCGCCGACGAGAGGCCCAGATAAGTTTCTTGGAAGCGATATTGGCAAGTGTACGGAACTTGGGGTGACCCAAGCGATGGTGGTAGAGGATGGTTGGGTTGGCAAAGCTGCGACAGAAACACGGAGTGGTGCTGGCAGCTTGCGATTGGGAGAGGGCGGCGAGAGGTGCAGGTGAATGCACCGTGTAGAGCTTGCTGCTGTTGAGTATGAAGCGTGCTAGGAGCTTGTTGGACTTAGGGTCGAGGAGGTCACAGAGATCCGAGTGTGCTGGAAAGATCGTGGTGACGCCTGCCCGTTGGAGCTCGTGTTGGGCCACGAGATTGTGCCGTAGTGTTGGAACACACATGCGAGTCATTCTGCCCGAAGGAAAAGCTGGGCACGGAACTGTGGAGGAGCCCTTGGCGTGTGTTGTGAAACAGGGGTGTGCTCCTAGTCGACAGATTGGTGTCTCGTATGGCTTGAAGGAGTGTTCTTCCTTGAGAACTGTCTGAGTGGCCCCACTGTCAAGGGTGAGCTCCATTGTGGCTGAGGTGCTTTGTAAGCCGGGACACTGCGAAATCGTCTCATTATTCATGGCAGTGCCAGGGAACAACATGTTGAGGCGCACATCAGCAGGTGCTGCCACAGCAGCCTGCACGGATTCCTGCGCTTCGACTTGATTGACTTGGCGAGGAGCACGATTGACCATCTAGCTTGGCGGCTTCGAGGCGGTCCCATTGATGGCATACCACTCGTTATCCTTCTTCTTAAAGAAGGAGGCAAGGGCATGGTTGGTACCGCCACACACCTGGCCGGCACGAGGGCCGCGCTTGATGACGTAGGGACACGGGGGGAAGCGGTTGCGCTAGAATGGCGACGAAGCGGCATAGGCTTGAGGCACGGGAGCGCGGATTGGATTGGCCTTGGCTTGAGCGCTGTTGTCCTTTTTCGGCACAAAGAAGCACGGATGAGACCTTGGCAAATGTGAGGTCCGCAGGAGCAAGGCCCAAGAGCATCTTGCGTGTGACTTCGTATGCCGGAGTGAGGCCGACTAGGAGAGCGGCTGCAGGGGCTTACTCGGGGAAGACTATCCCCAACTGTTTGAGTTCACCATGAATGGACTGCACCTTGGTGACATAGTCCGCCATGCCTGGGGAGTCCTCGAGCCGCACTTGGAACATGCTGGGGAGGAGTATAGCAACTCCCACTGCTCTCTTGTACAGGAAGCGGTCTTCGAAGTAGAGCCAAATCGCGTTGCCAGACGAGTACTTGTGGTAGGTTTCGACGAGTTTGGGAAGAGTGGTGCCCATGAAAACACTAATGACCGCAATATCGGCCTTTTCCCAAATCTTGTACTTCAACAGTGCAGCAGCATAGACTGCTTCGGCGGTGGCATTAGCTGGATCGGCGGACCTCTCGGGTTTAGGAGGCTCTTTGCCGTCACCGATGTTGAGAAGGACGTCGGTGAGCTTGAGCCCCTTTACCTCGCGACTGAGGAGGTGCTTGTCGACACCATAGCACCGTAGCGCGATTAGGATGTTGATCCGCGTGTGCGGATAGGTCGCTCTGATAGCGTGTAAGAAATAGAGTTGAAATGATGAACTAGGTAAGGAGCCGAAGGCCATATAAGTACATGGCAAGGTGAGAGAGAATGGATGTAGGGGGGAATCGGAGGGAATCCCCATTGGGATCTCCGGAGTCTCCAATTGGGTAATTGGAGATTGGGGGGATCACAATTGGGTGAGGTTGGGATTTGTGAGTACACCCCAACCCAGCAGAACATTCCTAACCTAAACTAGGATATAACAGTACAAGTACAAAAATGGGATTTGCAGTCTATTTCTTACACCACCACCCAGCACGCGCTTGCCGTTGACCCCGCCCCAACTGCCGCCGTCCCCGCCCTGACTGCGCACCAGCTGCAAGCGCTTTTGGTGCGGTTACAACAGCAAGCTCCTGCTGTTACAGTTGGAACCTCATCCGATAACGCTGCGTATGCGATCAATGTCAACAAAAAGAAAGAATTGGCTACCCCCACTCGCGCAACCAAGGCTCCGTGCGCAACCGACCAACCCCCTGCACCAACTCCTGCACCCGCTGACAACCTGGATGACAGCAACGACTCTGAAAATGGCTACGATGAGGCCCTTGCGAATATTGCTCGACGTCGCATCCCCACGCCCGCAGCTACTACCATCATGTGCAAGGGCATACACGACCAGGCCGAGGTCCTCCCTGCTATCAAAGTGTACCTTAAGGATATCAATTTCAACCTGGACCATGGCGACGTTGTCGAGGCACCCAATAACGTTAGGGATATCAAATACATAATGAGCAATTCGAGGTCCTTCTCGTGGCAGACGAAGCCAGTTTTGAGGCCACTAACCGTTTCCAGGACTTTCACTCCAAAAGCGTCCTGACATCCAGCTCCTATACGCTGGCGGTCACTGATGTGGCGGCGCTCAAGCGTGCACGCCTCGGCTGCATGCGTGGCGGCCCTCCTGGTCATTGCGACACGGACTTGGACATCAAACGCTCCCCCCCTGCCACTTGCCAGCAGCCACGCTTCAAGGGAGTCTGATTTCGCTGCGGCCAGCCAGGCCACATGGCCAATGCATGCCCCATGGGAAGGCGTAATGCACAAGGTCCCTCACCCATTGTGTATGTAAGAAATAGAGCTGAAAGGATTAATAATGTAAGGAGCCCAAGGCTCTATAAATACATGGCAAGGCGAGAGAGAATGGATGAAGGGGGAATCGGAGGGAATGCCCACTGGGAACTCAAGAATCTCCAATTGGGTATTTGGAGATTGGGGGGATCACAATTGGGTAGGGTTGGTATTTATGAGCACACCCCAACCCACTAGAACATTCCTAACCTAAACAAGGATATAAAAGTACAAATACAAATGTGGGATTTGCAATCTATTTCTAACCTATCCCCATAGACTGTAAACCCGGTCAAGAAGCACATAGCCCTATGGATAGGAGAAGGCAATGGTGGTCAGCCTTGCCAAGAGCCTTGGTAATGTTGGTTAGAGAAGGCTATAAGCAGATGATTCAAGGGCTCCTTGGAAATTTCTGCAGCACTTCGTTATGACGCCCAGAAAACTCGCGACCTTCGAAAAGCTATATCCAAATCTCCAATCGGTGAAACGATCTGAAAAATCAGATATTTCGTAACTTGCAGCATCAGCTTTCCATTGAAAGTTAAATCACTCGATTCCGTAGCTTATCGAAAGGGCTATGGCGTTTGGCGCACTGGGGGGTAATCTGCCCTAGGAGAAATTGACAGTCCTCAGAGTCATTATAATTGAAGCTTACAAGTTCACCGGCATGATGGAAAAGGCATTGAAGCACAGTTGGAAGGTGGGGTAGGAAGGGAAGGACCCTGGAGGGCTCATGGTCAAGAACATGACAAGAGTCAAAGTCTTGACTCCCATCCACAGGTTCAACCAGCTTGGCAAGACAAAATTCACACTGTGCCAGGTTGGCCTCCAAACCCCAAATGCTGCAGCTGCAAGGTGAGGACAAAAGTCCCACACATGCTGGTCCTTTCTCGTTATAGGGCTCTCCAAATTTGGTGTAGCAGCTGCCAAGGACTTCCAATGAGTTGTAACAAATCCATCAAACATTTCTTCGTAACTTCATATGTGCTCCGATTCCAACAATTCTTGGCTCATTAGAATGTGCTCAATGTCATGCACAATCCAAGCACATGTGCACAAGCACAAGACATGCAAAGACATGCAAACCCAACAAACCATACAAACAACATAGCACACAAAACACATGCAACGAAATCTTGCGAACAGACGACAGGATGACGTGCAAACGAATATGCACCAACACACTCCCCCTCAGACTGTCGGCTTGTTTCGCCGTCTCTAGTTCAAGGACATTCCCACCATCCTTGCACAGCGCCAGTGTGGCTCTTCAGCTAGCCGCTTGGTAAGGAAGTCGGCTGGCTGTTGCTGAGTTTTCACGTAGATCGGATTCAGTGTCCCAAGCTTCACCTCCTTCCGCAGCCAATGCCACTTGATCCTCATGTACTTGTTCAACCCATGAAGAACTGCATTGCGTGCCATGGAAATGGCTCCCTTGCTGTCACTGAACAGAGGTGTCGCACAAGTCTGTTCATGGCCGATCTCCTTCAAGAGCCTCCGTAGCCAAATGATTTCTTTTGCCGCATGAAACATCACCATGTACTCAGATTCCACTGAAGATAGTGCCGTTTCAGACTGCTTCTTGGACCTCCAACTTACAGGCCCACCTCTCACCATGCAGATGTATCCACCTACTGATGATGAATCCTCATGCTCAGAAGCCCACGTGGCATCAGCAAAACAGGAAAGGAACACCTTTCCTTCTCCGAGCTGCTCCCCCTTCTCTTTGACGACTTCAACTCCTTTTTGACTGAGTTGAGCAGAGGCTGAATACTGTACTCCCACTGTAGGGTATGACTTGAGGCAGCGCACCACTCTCTCCGCTGCACCATACTGCTCTTCTGTTGGATTTTGCACTACTCGAGCCAGCTGTTCCACAGCAAAGCTGATGTCAGGCCGAGTATGCACAGCAGCGTAGAGTAGGCTCTCGACCATGGATTGGAATTGCCTCTGGTCTTCACACTCAACTCCTCCTCCTTCAGCTGCCTTTATGAGTTTGAACTCGGAAGGCAAAGGTGTGACCACTTCCCGTTCTTCCTGCAGAGAGTACTTCTCAGCCAAGGTGTTGATGTACTGTCCCTGATGCATTTTGAGCTAGCCACGTTCAGTATCCCGCTCAATGTGCATTCCCAGGTAGTACCTTGCCTCTCCAAGTGACTTGCACTTGAAATCCTCTGTGAGCTTCCGTTGCACCCCATCGATCTCCTTGTCACTGCTGCTGAAGAGCAAGATGTCATCCACGTACACCAGCAGAAGCACAAGTGACTCCCCCTCGCCCATCAGGAATAGGCTCTCGTTGCATGCACTTGCACGGAATCCAATCCCTTCCAGTGCACTGGCCAGCCTGTTGTACCAGCATCTCGGGGCCTGCTTCAAGCCATAGATTGCCTTGTTAAGTTTGCAGATACGATCGGTTCCATCCTCATAGCCAGGTGGTTGAACCATGTACACCTCCTCTTCCATAATGCCGTACAGAAAAACGGTTACGATGTCCATCTGCTTCACCTTCCATTTGCGCACAGCAGCTACCGCCAGCAGCACACGTAGCATTGGAGACTTAGCAGTTGAGGCAAACACTTCTTTGTAATCTTCCTTCTTTTTCTGCTGAAACCCCTTTGCCACCAGCCTGCTCTTGTAAACTGATGGCTCTCCTTTCTCATCCGTCTTGATTTGTGCCAGCCACTTGCACTGTGTTGCCTTCTTCCCATTTTGCAAGTACACCAGGTCCCATGTGTGATTCTCCATCTGGCTGTTGTACTCTGCATCTCTTGAAACGAGCCATTTCCCCCGTTGAGGCCCAGCTAGCGCATGATCCATGCCGGAGGTTGTATTGGTGCGTAAAAGCAGTATGCAGGCTCCTCGTCATCTGACTCTTGGTCATCACCCAAGAACAGCACTGCATCTTCGTATTGAGCCTGTTGCTGCTGCTCAGTTGTGGCTCCTCCACTTGTAGAGCTCAGCAGTTTTCTTGTTGCCATTCTGGTGCGTGCAGGGTAGATGGTTGGATTTACCCATACTTTCACCTTCACCCAATCCTTTGTTCCCCCACCAGTCTGTTTCCTTCGCTTTGGCAGACTTGGTGCTTTGGAAGCCTCTTGCTGCAGCTGCTCCGGATCCTTGACTTCAGCATCAGCTGCAGTATCCTCATTGCTTCCTTCATCAGTGCCACTTGCCCTTGGCGCAGTGACTTCACTGTCATCAGGTTCGGAGAAATCGAAGTGCATAGTGATCTCTTCCAGCTGCTGAGTGACCCTTGGCTCCGGCTGCTTCTCCCACTTGCCATACATGATGTTCTCCACAAATTTGACATCCCGACTGTCAAACAGCACATTCTTTGAGGGCTCCCAGAGTAGCCACCCCTTGCTCTCTGCCGCAAGCCCAAGGTGCACACACTACAGTGCAGATGCTCCAAGCTTTGTCCTGTACGGTTTAGGGACATGCGCCACTGCCATGAATCCGAACACTCTAAGCATGTCCACTGGAGGCTTCTTTCCAAGCCACCTCTCCAGCGGCACCCACATATCATCAGCCACCTTTGTGAGTACGCGGTTCCTTGCCACTGTAGCATGCCTCACCGCATGAGGCCACATGGAGTTCTTCAGCCCTGATTCGATCAGCAGTGCTTGCGCAGTTTCCAGGATGGTCCTATTAGCCCTCTCAGCAACGCCATTTGACTGAGGGGTATAGGACGTCGTTAGCTGATGCTCAATGCCTTGTTTCTTGAGCCACGCAGTCAGATCTCCTCCTAGAAACTCTCCACCTCGGTCGGTTCTGATGCTCTTGCATGGGTGCCCAGATTGTCGCTCGACGAACGGCAGCCTGTCATCTCGTATTGTTGAGGCAGCATGATCCTTCTGCTTCAACGAGTATGCCCACATCAGACAACTCCAGTCATCAACTATTGTCAGGAAATACCTTTCCCCTTTACTTCCTTGAACTGGAAAAGGTCCTACCAGGTCCATGTGCACCAGTTCCAGTGCTGCCTTGCTTTTCCCAGCTACGCCGTGAAAGGGGAACCGTGTGAACTTGCTCAGCAGACACGTCTCGCACTTGGTATAATTTGGTTGCCCAGAAAGCTTCAGCCCCTTTACTGCTTCTTCTTTATGCAGTTGCTGCAAGCAATGGCATAGCCACATGCCCTAGACGCCTGTGTGCGGTTTCCCAATCAGTCTCCCCCGACCTTGCAGAAACCGTCACTCCTGCAGCACTAACTGTATTGCACTCCCCCTGGACTCCAGATCCCGCCTTTACTGCTCCCAACTCCTTCATTATTGATTCCCATATCAGCGCAGGGATCTGCCACATGGATCTGAAGACAGCTCTGCTTTCGTGTAAATCCCACAACACACGATCTCCTCGCAACCCCTTGAATGTTTTGGATCCATTGGTGGTGGTGCTGACTCCGGCCTGGCCTAGCTTGCGCAGCGATATCAGATTGGCCTTCAGCCCTGGTACGAGTAGCACACCCAGTCCACCATGAGGTGCTCTGAATGCACCTCGACCAACTCCAGCGACCTTCACTGCATGTCCGGAGGCTGAGCGCAGTTCAGAGATTGAAGGCGCTCGCACAGCATCCAGCAAGTCCTTGCGTGGTGTCATTGTCCATGTAGCACCAGAGTCCATGACCCACATGTCAAGCGGGTGCAATTCTGTTAGAAATAGACTGCAAATACCACTTTTGTATTTGTACTTTTATATCATAGTTTAGGCTATGAATGTTCTAGTGGGTAAGGGTGTATTCACAAATCCCAACCTCACCCAATTGTGATCCCCCCAATCTCCAATTACCCAATTGGAGATTCAGGAGATCCCAATGGGGATTCCCTCCAATTCCCCCTTCATCCATTCACTCTCACCTTGCCATGTACTTATAGAGCCTTGGGCTCCTTACCTAATAAATCATTTCAACTCTCTTTCTTACAAATTCCTCTCCAGCCCTTGCAACAGCTGTGCCACTGTCATCTTTGTCACACACATGGTAGAACTGTCCAACATTCCTCTCCTCATTTCCCATTCCTCACCCAATTGTGATCCCCCCAATCTCCAATTACCCAATTGGAGATTCAGGAGATCCCAATGGGGATTCCCTCCAATTCCCCCTTCAGCAGGATCAGCTACCATGTTGGCACCTCCATTTAGTTGCTTTCCTCCATTCCCCTTTTGCGATTGGTTCCAAGGGGTCCACCAGTCGGGCTTGGTAGAGCAGCGAAACCATGGATGCCCTACTTCCTGGCAATACCAGCACTCTCCCCTCAAGCGTGGTTCACTGTTGTCATTGTTGGAGTGACCACCTCTTCCTCTTGCACCAGCGCCATCACGCCCCCGCTGGTTCCCAGTCCCGCGACCACCTTGGCTGTAGTAAGAGCGACCGCGATTGCCACGCCCTCGATCCCTCCATGTCCCTTGCATGGCATAGCCGCTGATGCTGTCATCTCCTCCGCGCAGTGTATAGCGACAAAAATCTTCTTCCAGAATCTTGGTGCGAATCCACTCCAATGTCCATTGACTTTGGTTTTGTGGCAAGCTGAGTCCGCTTATAAATTGCAGCCAAGACTCGGGCAGCAGGCTGAGCATCTTGAGACACTTTGTCTGCTCGGGGTACGTGATGCCAGCAATCGCCAATTTCGCGTAGAGTTCCCTCATCTTGTCCAGTACGGGCTGCACGGGTTCATTCTCGCTCAACCGCAGCATGGACAGCTCCCGATCCAGCATGAGAGAAGCGGCAACCGATGTCGGAGGGTGCAGGTCCTTGAGCACTGCCCATGCCTTGGGCCCACAATCAGTTTCCGGTAGCACATGCATGATGCGATGCCTCTGGTTCAACTCCAAGCTTTGTGACACTAGATAATACCCAGCAGATGAACGTTCATCCAAATCCGCTCGCTCTCCCGTTTCCTTTGGCCTGGGCTCCGTTCCAATCATGAGCTTCAAGAGGCCAATTTGTCGAAAGTAGAGCTGCATCTTCCGTGCCCAATCATCATAGCCATCTTCAGAGAACTTCTCAATGGTGACCCCTGGCTTGTACGCGCTCCTCTTTGCGCTGCAATGCCAGAATATTGGGTTGAGCTGCCTCCTTGGACTGAAGTATCACCTCCACCAGAGTCCTCCTTATCTCGCATTGTATTTTAGGTCCCAAATGCATGATAATGGGCTCTGATACCACTTGTTGGTTAGAGAAGGCTATAAGCAGATGATTGAATGGCTCCTTGGAAATTTCTGCAGCACTTCGTTATGACGCCCAGAAAACTCGCGACCTTCGAAAAGCTATATCCAAAACTCCAATCAGTGAAACGCTCTGAAAAACGGATATGTTGTAGCTTGCAGCATCAGCTTTCCAATGAAAGCTGAATCACTTAATTCCATAGCTTAACGAGTGAGCTATGGCGTTTGGCGCACTGGGGGGTAATCTGTCCTAGGAGAAATGGACAGTCCTCAGAGTCACTATAATTGAAGCTTACAAGTTCAAAGGCATGATGGAAAAGGCATTGAAGCATAGTTGGAAGGTGGGGATGGAAGGGAAGGATGAAAGGGAAGGACCCTGGAGGCCCATGGTCAAGAACATGACAAGAGTCAAAGTCTTGACTCCCCATCTTCAGGTTCAACCAGCTTGGCAAGACAAAATTCACACTGTGCCAGGTTGGCCTCCAAACCCCAAATGCTGCAGCTGCAAGGTGGGGACAAAAGTCCCACACATGCTGGTCCCTCCTCGTTATAGGGCTCTCCAACTTTGGTGTAGCAGCTGCCAAGGACTTCCAATGAGTTGTAACAAATCCATCAAACATTTCTTCGTAACTACTTCATATGTGCTCCGATTCCAACAATTCTTGGCTCGTTGGAATGTGCTCCATGTCATGCACAATCCAAGCACATCTGCACAAGCACAAGATGAACATGCAAAGACATGCAAACCCAACAATCCATACAAACAACGTAGCACACAAAACACATGCAACGAAATGATGCGAACAGACGACAGGATAACATGCAAACGAATATGCACCAACAGCTGGGTACTCTGAACAAGATATCGGATGAAGAAATGACGAAGTTCGATGTGTTTTGTGCGAGAGTGGAACACAGGATCCTTGGTGAGGTGAATGGCACTCTGGTTGTCACACCATAGAGTGGGCGACTGCTGGAGGTAGCCTAACTCAGCGAGGAGAAAGGAGAGCCAGCGTGCCTCTTGAGCAGCCATTGTGCCTGCGTAGACCTTGGCCTCGCAGAACGACAAGGAGACTGCAGAGGACCGAATGGAGTGCCAGCTGATGACTCCGCTACCAAGGATGAAGC